TACAACACGATTTTCTCGAAAAATAACTAAATTCGGCAAAAATGTAATTATCACTGTTTAATGCTTTACGAACAGAATTACGTCCCTTGCGCGCACTAGAGAGTAATACTGACCCCAGAATATACACGAAACATGAAAATTCGAATTTTCGTCAAAAAGTCAGATTCTAGCCCAAGCTGGACTTAGAAAATTTTCCACCTACGTGTCTACTGAAAACAGAATTCTAAGTCTATAAACACAATCCTACCGTCTTACTGGTAAAAACTAGAAAATATCACTCGCATCGACTGGGGAATCCTAATGACGCCCAGAACATACACGTGACCCACGAATACAAATTAATTACAGTTAACGACTTTCCGACATTGACTTAGCCGAAAACTTATCCCAAAATACTTAGAAATATTCCACGGACAAATAACATTTACACGCAACTTACTATCCCTTAAACTCCTTCACTTATCTATCGTGACCAACATATAGCCCTAAGTCCAGAGGATTAACTACACTCTAGCAACAACGCCTCTGACTTAGACTAATACAACAGGGAATAGCCAAACTTAATGTACGCACTTAGCCTAATATGCAAGAAAATGCTAAACACTTTGATAAAAAAAAATTTAACCGGGGATTGAATGTAAGGGAAAAAAAATTAATCTCTAGAACAATGAAAATAAACGGAAATTACTTTATAAATTGAAGTATACTTAATTCAAAAATGCACTCGACTTAATCTTATAATTGTTCCTACCGGCTCGCCGTACCACACCTAGCCTAGAGGCCACACCATCTAGGTTCCAACAGAGCGACACGCAGCTTTCAGCAACAATTATGACTAGGGACGACTCAACCTCCACTAAGTGTGCGATCACTTAGTTGTTGAATCGCTGCTAGGTAGGTTACTAGTCCGTCCCTCGGAGGCCACAACGCCCTTCACGGATTACGTTTTTCCTAGCGTTTTGGGTCGTCTAATAACGCCCTCGGACTATCTACTGGCGTCCCACAGATATATCCGCCCCCGACAGCCCTCAAGGAACTGCTGTTGAGAGTATGGCGGCTCCCAACACCTCTGAATTAATTGCAATGGGTCGAGTATGGTACCCAGTCCAATCAACTCGGAGCGGTCTCCTTTTCAATAAATCTAATTTTAACAGCCTAATCTTACTAACTAACCTTAATCATATCAGCCCGCATGACCCAAGATTCGCCAATCCCCACTCAAACGCACTTGTGGGGCGCACTGCTAATCCTGGCCCGCGGCTGTCTCCTTAGCATCCGCGCACGTGTTCGAACGGCTAGACGCGTGAGCCTTTCAACAATTTCAAACAAAATTGTTGAAACCACCGCTGTGCACCATTGTAACACGGGTTTGGGTCCTCTCTCTTATCTTCTCTACCTTCTACTCCCTCTACCCGTATTCTTACTTTTTATTCTCTACCAAGGGACTCCAAAACTTTTACCAAAGCCACCTCCACGCCACGTGGTCCTAAGACGATTGACCGACTTAGGATTCTACACCCAGTATGACGTGACCTAGGCTCTGAACAAAACTCTAGAGTCGCCTCTACGCTGCCACCACCAGACCAGTAAAAAGAAGAGCAATGATCGAGGTCTGGATCGATCACGCTAATTAATCAACCTAGGGGCTTGATCCCCACTATATACGATGACCTTGAGTGTGGAATAAATTACACGGTAATGATAATTCCGATTCGATGTTAGAATCGGCGCCCAATACAACTCTGCCTCGTGTGGACCACGTGACCAGGACAAGTATACACATAACCCAATGGAGACAATAAAAATGCAAATTATTAACTTAATTTATTAAAAGAAAACTAAAACAAAATCTAAATATGTTCACTCCCTGTCACTTTAACACTCCCTACTTGACCTGAATGGCAAATGAGACTATTTCTATACATAACCATAGCAACTATACCTCTATATTTTCCAGCTAAGATGTTGGGCTGGTCTCGGGGAGAGGTAAGATGTTTGACCTCTCCCAGCTGCTTCCGTGACCACACTGATCTCTTCCTTGTCTGGTCTACCCCAGACAAGAACATTGTAACCTTCCGCCTAGTCAAAGTTTCACCAAGTTACTAGCAAGGTTTAAGTTATAACAATTAAACTCTGTTGTACTTAATTGATCCAGACTGGTTGAATTATTTTACTGAAATAAATTACAAACATCTAACGGCAGAGCTGTTCCCGATCCCCAAAATGGTTAATTGAACTTTGAGAAATACTAGACATGTCAACCCTGCTGACCTATGACCGCCGGTCACTCCGCCTTAAAAGTTAGATCTGATTCGTGACGTCACTGATGGTGACTTAAACTCAATAATTAGAATACTCTTGATATTGTATCCAGTACTATTATACAATACAATTTTAATGCAAAATGAATAAAGGCTAATTTTCTCTAAATTACTGAATACTATAGGATGGTTCATTATACGCAGCTATGAACAAAGATGCCCGCCATTTGTGACTCAGACCTGCTAATTCCCAGGGGACTGGGCGTTGTTGAGAGGTCAGGTCCCTACTCGAACTTCTGGAACCTTCTGGAATAATTCTTACAACAGCCTAGTTTGTTACAATAGGTCATCTTCCCCTAGGGAGGTTAGCCATGTAGGGCAAAGCAGTGTAGGACCTGCACACAAGAGGGCCACCATGAAGATGTCAACTGGGAATCAAGCCAAGACAAGTGTCCGAACACCGGGGACCTTACCCACTAAGGAGGATAAGAGTACCCTGCCATCACTGCAAGGCAAGTAGTATACCAGCAAAAGTCCCTTGTAATATGAATCCTTCCATGGTACCGTGTGGTAACCATTATGGGCTACAGTTCGTAACCCACCCAGATGTTCCTAGGTTAAACACAGAAGAACTACCCAGAAACCCACTAGCACAAAAGAGAGATATATTGAAGACTGGATAATTGATGCACAAATTGCTCTCAGTATAGTAACAAGTGAGGAACTAAAAGTTAAATTTGCCCAAAAAGGCTCTCCTTGACCAAACAAAATCCATTAATTCCATGAGTAGTTTTCGGAATGACTTTACGTGGGAAGATTTTGAGAATGCAGCCAGAGGCCGGTTTAAGGTGGAAGTAATACTCTCAGAAGTTCATGAATATGTATTCAGTATGAAATTAAAACCAGCAAGCAGGAATTAAGGTATACCCCAGATAGGTTAGAATTGTTCAAAAAACAAACATTTTGTGATGGGTGATACGGAACTCAGTATTCCACTTCAACTGATTTTTCAGGCATCCCCAGCATACAGGAGTTGTAGCTAATGTATGGAAAAAGGCTAACATAGTTCCAATCAACAAAAATGGCAGCAGGGAAGACCCCCTCAATTATAGACCTGTATCATTGACAAGTGTAATAGTCAAAATATTGAAAAAAAATAATTAAAACTAAATGGGTAAAACACCTGGAGAAAAATGATATAATATCAGACAGTATGGTTTTCGATCTGAAAGATCCTGTGCAACGAATTTACTCATTTCTATGATTGAGCCACAGAGATTTTACAGGAAAAAGATGGTAGGGTTGACTGCATCTATCTGGACCTAAATAAAGCTTTTGACAGAGTTCGACATAAGAGGTTGTTTTGGAAACTGGAATATATTGGAGGGGTGACAGGTAAGCTTCTAAGATGGATGAAAAATTTCCTAAATTCGTAGAAAAATGACCACTGTAACCAGAGACAATATATCAGATTGGAGGAATGTCACAAGTGGAGTACCACATGGTTCAGTTCTTGCACCGGTAATTTTCATTGTCTACATAAACAATCTACCAGTCGGAATAAAGAATTATATGAACATGTTTGCTGATGATGCTAAGACAATAAGGAAGAAACTTAGATGATTGTCATGCCCTTCAAGAAGACCTGGACAAAATAAGTATATAGAGCACCACTTGGCAAATAGCATTTAACATGAATAAATGCCATGTTATGAAACGTGGAATTGGAAAACATAGACCCCACACAACCTATAAATTACATGAGAAATATTTAAAGAATTCTGACAAAGAAAGAGATCTAGGGGTGGTTCTAGATAGAAAACTGTCACCTGAGGACCACATTAAGAACATTGTGCACGGAGTATATGCTACTCTTACTAACTTCAGAATTGTTTTTAAATATACGGATGGAGAAATATTAAAGAAATTGTTCACGACTTTTGTTAGACCAAAGCTGGAATATGCAACTGGCAAACATATCAAAATGTCAACAAACTGGAAAAAGTGCCAAGACATACCACTATGTGGCTCCGAGAACTGAAGGACAAGAGCTATGAGGAGAGGTTAAAGGAATTAAATATGCAAAAACTAGAAGATAGAAGAAAAATAGGCGATATGATCACTACGTACAAAATAGTAACAGGAATCGATAAAATTGATAGGGAAGAATTCCTGAGACCCGGAACTTCCAGAACAAGAGGTCATAGATTTAAACTAACGAAACAAAGCTGCCGGAGAAATATAAGAAAATTCACTTTTGTAAACAGAGTGGTAGACGGTTGGCACAAGTTAGGGGAGAAGGTGGTGGAGGCCAAAATCATCAGTAATTTCAAAGTGTTATATGACTTTTTTTTTTATTATTATTATTATTTTCTACCACAGACGTGGCCACACATTAACAATGCTAACGAACATATATACATTTTCTTCTGTCCTCCATGGACAGGGTTAGAGATTTGATAAACATAGTTCAGGGATTTATTGAATAATCAACAATGAAGGTGATTGTAGTGCTTTTAAAATGCTAGGCTAAGCTACATACGTAAATACATAAATACACAGATTTACATATGCCCTACATAAAGTGTTCGATGTGTCTTTTACATAGTGTCATTAACGTGCATTTACAAAGGTGAAATGGAATTCTGATATGACAAAGAGTGCTGGGGAGACGGGACACCACGAGTGTAGCTCTCATCTTGTAGCTACACTTAGGTAATTACAAAACAGGAAAATTACCTGAAAGTCCTTCCTGTGATGCAAAGGGTGTGGCAGACTGTGAGCAAAATGTGGCTACACCTGAATATCCACTCCTGCAAGAAATAAATGAGGATATCAAAACCACTTGGAAATTTAAGAGCTAAAGAGTAATAGGTTATGCAATTCTTGTGTGTAACAAAATCATTAGAAAATTTAATTTACAGTGGTCTTTTAGTATAAAGCAAAAAACCAATTTCACAGAAAAAAAAAAAAAAAAGAGGGATGTGGGACCAAGTTCCAAAAGGATGAAATTCTTGGAACTCAATCCATAATTAGGTCCATGACCAGGAAATACAGTCATTTTTCCAGGAAAAACCAATATGGGGTCCAATGGTCCATTCTGAAGCCATTTTGGATGGTCACACATTCTTCAATTTTTTATTTTAATTTTGAAAACTAGAAGAGGACTTCATTTGTGTTACAGGTAATCACACTTTTCTGAAGAGTCAGGCCCAGGAGCTAATGAATAGCTCATTTTCTCATATGTAAATGCCCAAATCTTCAGAAAAAAAGCAGCATTGACTGTAATGAAACGCCAGTTTCTAGGCGAGCCCCGGAGGCTTCCTGAAGCTATTCCACTAATATTGTGCTATCCTATTTGGGGTCCTCAGAGTTCTTGTTGCCTACTGGGCACCAGAGCCAGAACCTGACCACCTCAGAGAGGCGCAGAGAGCAATGGCCTATCTTGAGGTTATCTTGAGATGATTACGGGGCTTAGCGTCCTCCACGGCCCGGTCATCAACCAGGCCTTTTTGTTACACACCCACAGGAAGCAGCCTGTAGCAGCTGTCTAACTCCCAGGTGCCTATTTACTGCTAGGTGAACAGGTGCATCAGGGTGAAAGAAACTCTGCCAATTTATTTCCGCCTCCACCGGTGATCGAACCTGGAACCTCAGGACTACGAATTCCGAGCGCTGTCCATTCAGCTGTCAGGTCCCTATGAGCACTTTGTATTTAAACTACTGTATTTGCCAGCATACAAGACACTTTATTTTTAAATGTATCAAAAAACCAGCATTTAATGTAATGAAACACCATTTTCTGGGTAGAGCCTCAGAGGCTCCCTAAAGCTATTGGACTGATATTAGCTAATATTAGTACAGAGCACCACTTGGTTTCCGAACCCCTTGGGGACGAGACCCGTCGGTTAACATGTAAGTTCGTATACGAGAAATGGAGGAAAAAATAAAAAAATAAATTGAAAAAAAATCTAGGGGAAAAAATCGACAGGTTCATAGCGTAAATGCGTGACCGTATTTTGTTTGTACTCGCCAATAATTGAAGTCCTGATCCGCTTATGTTGATGATCGATATTGATGAAGCATAGTTATTTACATGGAAGAGGTGGTGGTGGATGTTGATGGTGTTGGATTGACTGAAGTTGTTGGGTTGACTGGGTCAACATGCGATGAGTCAGGTGCTGGTGATGCAATGCGAGCTTTCTTGGAAGCCATTGCAAAAGACTCTGTAATTGACATTTGTTTCATTCCCTTGGCTCATGTTTTTAAAAACTTCATATACAAATTGTACTGAGTCATCATGTCCTTAGTTTCAAACTCGCTGTAACTCGTGTCCATAAATGCCAGAATGTATTCAAAATTTTGCTGAACTTTTTCCATATCACATTTTTCCTTTAACGTTTCTTCATCCTCTTCCTCTTCCTCTCCATCTTCTTCATTGCACTCGTCTGGCTTTTTTGCTGTACATACTAATTCTATAATTTCATCATTAGTCATGTTTCGATTGTTTGGGGCTTCATCAAAATCTATCCATCTATCTATGTCATCTTCGATTGTTTCAGTCACCAGTTCTACTCTAATCTCAGGGGACTTAATCCCCTTGACATAGGCTAGGAGTTCCTCTCTTAATTTTTTCTTCTCGCTAACTTTCTTCACCGCAAATCCTTCAAAATCTGCCTCGTCATCTTCCTCAGGAAACAGACTTGACGCGGGTCAAAGTTTTTTCCAACCATTTCTTAGTGTTGTGTGCTTTACCTCATCCCACGCACTAGCAATAGTCCAGATAGCTGACTTTATTGTGAAGACTTTATAAAAGTCCTTAAGTGTTCCAAGCTGATTGTTAAGACGTCTGGCAAACATCCTCTTGTAGTGGTATTTAAGGTTCTTAATTATTTCTTGATCCATGGGTTGATCACTGAGGTTGTATTGGGTGGCAAGAACGTTCCAATAATATTGCCATTTATAAGCTCATCACCTCGTGGATGCGTTGAACTGTTATCTAGCAGCAGCACAACTTTGCTGTTTTGCGGGAGACCAACACTTTTCAGGTGCTCCTTCACCTCGGGTACAAAGTTCTTATTAAACCACTCGACAAATATTACTCGAGACATCCACGCACTTGGCTGGTCCTTATAAATCACAGGGAGGCACCTGGCTGACTTTAAAGCCCTGGGGTTTTTACTAATTCCAATCACAAGTAACTTTAATTTGTGCGTGCCAGCTGCATTTGCACAGCACAACAAAGAAATTCTCTGTTTGTTCTGTTTATAACCACCTGAAGGATCGTCCTCACCACTATGAGCCATCGTTTCTGTGGGAAGCATACGCCAGTACAAACCTGTCTCATCTGCATTATAAATTTGCTCTGGAGATAAATTTTGTTCCTGCACCATCTCCGCAAATTTACTCACATACTCATCAGCACCAACAATATCAGCAGATTGTCTTTCACCATGCACTTTAATAAACCTAATGCCATGACGGGTTTTAAAACTTCTGAGCCAACCATCACTGTATACACACTTTTGAGTAATTTTCATTGCTTGGTGAAATTCACGCGCCTTTTCCAAGAGGAGCCAGCCTGCCACTGGCTTCTTCGTCACTTCACGTCTCTGTTTGTACCACTCCCACACTGCGTTATCAACACTCCACTTTTGCTTTACTTACTACCTTTCTATTTCGTATTGCTTTATCACTTTCACTTCTAGAGAAATAGTAAAAAATGATAGGTTTAGCCTTAAGAAGATCAAAAACAGTACTTTTACTAATGCCATACTCAGCGCACACGACACTTCTCGGGACACCACTTTCCACCTTCTTAATTATTTCAACTTTCTTTACAAATGTCATCACTGACCTCTTTCTTTTACGTAACCCGCTTGTAGATGCTTTCACTGACACAATGCGTGCATTTGGAGCCGACATGGTGCACGGATGTTCCTTGATTGTGCTGATGTGTAAAACAAAGTCACGGAATGAACACTCCAGTCTCGTGACAAATTCAAACAATGGGAACAATAGGCCGTGAGTCTGTGACGTCACAGGGTAGCAGGCGGCGCCCGACACGGTCAGTGAGCAAACTAAACCATCACCCACCCCCCCACCCACCCACCACGGGCCGGCACGACGCTTGGCTGACCGCTTCCTTACCCGAGCCTGCCTGCCTGCCTCCTTCCCAGCCAGCCTGCCTGCCTCCTTACCCGAGCCTGCCTGCCTGCCTCCTTCCCAGCCTGCCTGCCTGCCTCCTTCCCAGCCTGCCTGCCTGCCTGTCTGCCTGTGCCTGTCTGCCTGTGCCTGCCAGCCTGTGCCTGCCAGCTTGCCTTTCCCTCCCTAATTCTCACTACTTCCGTCCCTTCCTGCCTACCTCCTAGCATCTCTCCCTACCTCCCCCTCCCTCTTAGCATCTCTCCCTACCTCCTAACATCTCTCCCTACCTCCCCCTCCCTCTTAGCATATCTCCCTACCTCCTAACATCTCTCCCTACCTCCCCCTCCCTCTTAGCATATCTCCCTACCTCTTAGCATATCTCCCTACCTCCTAACATCTCTCCCTACCTCCCCCTCCCTCTTAGCATCTCTCCCTACCTCCTAACATCTCTCCCTACCTTCCCCTCCCTCTTAGCATCTCTCCCTACCTCCTAACATCTCTCCCTACCTCCCCCTTCCTCTTAGCATCTCTCCCTACCTCCTAACATCTCTCTACCTCCCCCTCCCTCTTAGCATCTCTCCCTACCTCCTAACATCTCTCCCCCTCTTTCTTAGCATCTCTCCCTACCTCCTAACATCTCTCCCTACCTCCCCCTCCCTCTTAGCATCTCTCCCTACCTCCTAACATCTCTCCCTACCTCCCCCTCCCTCTTAGCATCTCTCCCTACCTCCTAACATCTCTCCCTCCCTCCCCCTCCCTCCTAGCATCTCTCTCTCCCTCCCTTTCTGACTAATTATCCCCCTCTCTCACTGATTCTCCCCCCCCCCTCTCATACTGCCTCCCACCTAAGCTCCATCGTCCATCCACCCACCAGTCAGCCATCAATGACGCAATGCGTCCATTTGGAGCCAACATGGTGCACAGATGTTTCTTGATTGTGCAGATATGTAAAACAAAAGCACAGAATGAACATTCCAGCCTTATGGCAATTCAAAATACTGTAATAGGAATAATAGGCCGTGAATCTGTGAAGTCACAGTGGGCACCCTGGACCATCTCCCACCCACCACCACAAGCCGGCGTGACGCTTGGTGGACCCTTCCTACCCGAACTTTGTTCGGGTAGCATGACTCCCCAACCCCAATCGGGAAACTGGAAGTTTCGGATAACTAAAGTTCGGAAACCAAGTGGTGCTCTGTATGAGGCTTCAGTCATATGGAGTTGTCATGCCTACTGGAGACTACTAGCCAGAACATGGTCCCCTCAGAGAGGTGCAGGGAGGAATGGCCTATGAAACTCCCTCTGCCATCGACCAGGGTTTGACACCCAGAAAGGAAGGCCCTCCTAAAACAGACCCCAACTGGTAGGAAAATTGCAACCAGAGACCAAACAAAGGCTAGAAACTCCCTCAAAACAAAAATGAAAACATGCAACACATCATACACTGCTCACCATTCATTTGCACCGACCCCTCCACCCCACAGCAACACAAGACCGCTTAGGGGCCCCAGCACATAAACCCCTGTGCGTTTAAAATTATGCGTGCGAAAATGTACGTGTGAAATTAAGTGTTCCGAAAAAATTCTGTTTTGTTTGTAAAATGAAATTTCCTTCCCCGAACGTGTTTTTGTAAAAATAAATACAAAATTGCTCTTATTTTGCCTGT